CCCCTGATCCAGGACTCGAAGGGTTCCCTGTGCTTTGATGGAACACACTCCTCGACAATCCCTGCTGTTGAAGGATTCCCTTTCCCTCACAGTGAACCCACTGGAGTTTATCTCTGCCTGCACAACTCCTKCCCAGAATAACTTATTCGACCTTTCTGCCTCCATTTCTCCCTGCAACCTTCCTCCTGCCTTGGCCTCACGTCTGAATGCTTTATGTTTGTCGAACAATTTTAAATCTGTCAGCAATTCATCCATCTGCCACCTCCTGGGTTTTTAATGCYGCAAAATGTTCTGGGATACAGCCTTGCATAAACCTCGTGGTGGAAAATTAAGCTGTACCTCGTTCAGAAACCAAACTGGCTTTGAGATCATTTCTTTCCAAGGTGCTGGGTTATTTCAAAGACTGGCTTCTTCCCTACAGTGAGCAGGAAAGCCATGATGCTATCCGGTCTAAAATAAACATTATGGGAGYGGCGATAAGGGGAAATATTTCAGCTGACTAAGAGCAATGTGGGTTCAAATCCAAGCGTAAGCTGATATTGCTTGTAATTTGTTCCCGAGCCAAAAACACAGACTGGGACTGAAAAAATGGAAGGCATTAAACAACAAGCAGCGTACTCAGCGACTCTGAAAAACTTCAGCATTTCCATTTATGTTATTATTTTTTTAAATAACCTTCAGTTTCACGGATCATAAAGTTAATTTGGAGTAACTTCCCTTCTCTGTAACTAGACAGAGCTGCTATCCTTTACGTTCATTAATGTTTGCTCAGTGCTCCACAGCTATAAAGAGAGCAGTAACCATTATCAGCATCCTCCGTGCACCCAGCAGGCACATAACCACGCCAACTGCTGTGCTCCTGTCCCCTCCCCGTGGCCCAGATCCCTCCAGYCCTGGCACTGTGGTAACAATCACAGTCATGGCCACCYATTTCCATCTTTACTGCTTCTCCTCCAGTGCCAGTCACCTCTSCCCTGCAGGCAGGGCTCATCTCTGRACCTCTSCAASCCCCATTTGGATCAGCAGYSARGCACACACTGTTGGCTGCGTGCTGCTCTYGCCTGCCCAACCTCAGCCAGGTCACATTTCTCAGCTTCCCATCATGAAGATGGCACAGGAGCTGCTACCATGTGAGCACTGCAGAAACATCCCCTCCTGGGGCTTGCCTTTAATGAGGAACAGTCCACACCCCAGAGAGACTCCAGCTGCCAAAGGCAGGCTGGCAGGAACAGAGAACTGGTGGCCTCCAGAAGGGAAGTGACAAGTGGGGTGGGCAGCAGGACTGGGGGTGCAGTCCAGATTTCTCAATTCCCAGTATAGTCCCGCTGCTGCCTCATGCTCAGGTCAGGTCAAGGATCACTTCCCAAAACTGACAAATCACTCATTTCCTTCTGCTCTTCTGTTCCCTTCCTCCCAGATCCATCCCTCACTCTGACCAAGCTTTCACAGGCATTTTCATTGCCCTCTGCTCTGGAGCTCCAGCTCCCTCTTCAATCCTTTTTTAGGAAACATCTCTGCTCTAGCCATGCTCATTAAATGATACACATTTCCATTTTCTACTGCAATGCAAAGACCTATCCCTTGACATTACAGGGCAAATCAGAGACCTCAACACCTGTGTGCCARCACAAGCCCAGCCATAAATAGCAATTCTCCACTGCTTCCCTACATCGATACACAGCAAGAGCCCTTCAAAGCCRAGCAGGAGCCTGTGCCACAGCAGCCTAGATGAGAATCCACGACCTCATRATGCCCAAATCCTTAAGCAGCTGCAAAAGCCTCAGTCACTAATCAGAGAGGCGACCGAGTGCTGCTATACCTCATTTCCAGCTCCATTAGAGCTGACCCTGCTCTCCGCTGAAAACTCTCAGCAAAGACTAAAGCGAGCCGYGGTTCCACAAATGCACTTGCACAGAAATAACAGCCCTCTTAAGAACACAGTGCCCTGGATTTCCATCCTCGTGCACCCCTGCAGATAGCCCGTGGTCTGCATTTGGGGACCACTGCTCACAGGCACAAAACCCGGGGGGAACCCGTACTTTGCCACTGGGAGTAACTGGAACTGGTATTTTGCCACTGGGAGTAACAAACCCTCGCACTGAACAGGCAAAGCACTCATGGAGAAAGAGAATCCTCTTCACCAGCTCTCCAGCAGACTTGCTCTGACACATTGAACTTCACATAACCCCACCGGCCTCAGCTTTCTGACTTGTGATGTGGTCAGAATGAGACATGGGGTTAGAGATGGGGAGTACTGCAYCCCAAAGACCCTCTCCAAGCCATTCCCCTTCACAACTGCTCAAATCACTCACTCAAAATGCACCTCTGAAAATTTAGTGATTTAATCCTGCTTTTGTGCCTACTCATCTAGAAAATGACAAGATCGTAACTTTCCTCCTCCCCACAGGGCCGTGAAGATGACAGCATCTCAGGCACATAAATTATAACTGGCTTCAAACACGTTTCTCCCAGGAAAACCGGACTGCAAACAGGACTGTATTTCAGCAGAGACCACTAAAAACCAGAACGAGTGGTGGGAGGAACACTAGGAGCCATCAAGGGGACAAATAATTCACAGGCATGTCACAAAAGATGAAGGTATCTCCTATGACCCAATTCCAGCCAGCAGAGTCCAGAGCTGCCGTGGAGATGAGACGGAAAGCTCTCAACACGTGCAGCTATCAGCACAGCTGCATGCACACCATCACTGCCAATCATAACAAAACTGCCTTCACCAGACTGGATCTCCTAATTACAAGACGTGAACTTGGCCTGAACCAAACCCTCTTTGGATTTAGCACAGGATGGCTCCAGGGACTGTACWGGAGGCAGCTTGGTTCAAATCCAACCACAGCCATCAGCGAGTGAAAGGTATTGCCAAGCAGCAGCTGTTTGGTGGCTTGCATGAAACGAGTTTATGGTTTCAGTGCAGATCCTGTCGCAAAGAAATGCCAGTCACCTCCCTGGAGCTCCAAGGTGTGAAGGCAGAAGCACTCACCCACTTCTCCAGCGCTGGAGATGCTGACGTGGGAGGCGTTCCCACACGGGCCCGGTACCAGCTCGGCAGCGCCAGCCCTGACCTCCGCAGGGCTTTCAGAACCAGGTATGTTTTGCAACTTGGCAGAAACACACAGCCAAGTAACAGAAACCACCACCCACATGAAGCCAGAAGAACAAAGTGCCAGTGTTTTCCTGCCCCAGACATGTGCGTGCCCCATCTCCTCTCTCACACCAAAAATAGCTTCTACTTTTTCCCTTTTGGCAACAACAAATCGAGGTTTGAGTGCATTTGCTTTCAATAAACTAAACACGTTTTGCAAGAGTCTCTCTCACACTGAAACTTACTCAACTAAAGTTATAAAATATTTTTCACATGCAAAACTTCCCTCCCGCAGCATCGTGGAACTCAACCCCAACTCTGCGAGCCGTGCTCACTCTAATTCCTCACCAAGGCACTGGTCCCGCACAGAACTGGCAGACCCAGGCACACAGGAGGATGGAGCTAAATCTCAAAATCACCCAACGAGTCAGCAGTGAAACTCAGAGAATTAAGTACGCTTTCATTAAAACCAACGAGGAGCGCACAGCTTCACTCGAGCTCTTCAGGGGTTTTGTCATCACTTCCAGAAGAGAAGGAGACTCACCCAGTCATCCCAACTCATATTGGTTCCCATCATGAATCAGTAGTAGAACCACATCTTTATCCATAAAGTACATAGCAAACTTAAATCTAACCTTACTTATAAAAGCTCTACACGAAATGAGAAATGGAAAAACTCTCACCCAGCACTGGAATACAATATCACATCMACCCAACTCTGATTAAAAATATCAGATTCAGCAAAACCCTGACGTTTTCAAGCATCCAGAGCACCAGCCTTTGCTTCATGTGACTACTGAGGGAGAGGTCACCGAGAGAGTTCAAACCATAAATGCCTGTGGACCAACGGGTTAGGAAACACCCACTGCACAGATCACCTCCAGCAGCACTGTCCCCTCCCGCACATTCTTGAGCTGACCCAAAACACAAAGTTCAGGGAGCAGACGACGCAGCCTTCAGCGCAGGCAGCAGTGYCTGCTGTTTCTGCTGGGCTTCCACAGGGTTCAAAGCGCTGGAAGMAGGGATGAGTTTGTTGGGTCAACACGGCCCCGCGCCCCAGGCAGCCCCAGCCCGAGTCCTGCAGGTTTTGCTGCTTCAGTGRTGTTGGCAGCAGCCCACATGGCAGGCAGCTGCCTGCACCCGCTGCAGCCTGCTCTTTGTGCATTGTCAGGGCAAGGGAGCAGGAGGAAGGGCCGAGAGGAAAGAGGGAATAGGAAATCATAGAAACCGACAAGAAAATAACAATCGCTCCAGACACCGCAGCCGGGGTTCGGAGAAACGTGCACTTGTTGCCTACAAACATCGGCTCGACTACCCCACGTAAATATTTACACAGTGAGCAGCACACCGCCCGAGAAGGCAGCCCTGCGGCTCTCGTGATGCCCAGGAGCCCGGCCGGAGCCCCGGGCACCCCCTGGCACGGCTCGGGGCCGTTCTCCCACCCGTGACCCCGCGGACGCTCATTCATCGCTCCGGGCCGYCGGTCAGCGCGAACCCACCGGCTTCCAACTGCGGGCGGCAAGAGCCGGAAAACACAACAGGATTGAAAGGAGGGAAAAAACAAGGAAGGGGGGTAGAAAAAGGGCCTTGGGTGCCCCCACCCCGCAGAGGGGTGTCCCCGCCAGTCTGCCAAGCGCGGAGCTCCCCCGCGCTCCTGTACCCCGCCGCTCCCGAGCGGCGCGTTCCCTTGAGGCTAGAAACAGCAAAATCAACAAAAAAAAGAAAAAAAAAAAAAAAGAAAGTTTTTCCCCGGCGAGCAGCTCCCGTGGCACATTTTCATTTTTACGTAACGCGGCCGCCTTTCCCCCACCTGCGGGGAGCGGAGCGGCCCCCCCAGCGCGGCCCCCGCCCGCACCCCGGCACCGGGGGTGTCCCCCGGGGCTCCCCCCTCCCGCCTTACCTAATCCCGCCGGCAGCTGCCGCCCCCCATCGCCGCCGCCGCTCCCGTCTCAGCGGCCGGCGGGGCAGCGCTGGGCGCGGGGACGCGGCCCCGCCATCTGCGCCGTGTTTATAAATCCAGAGCCATGGGGCTGCGAGCCGCGCCGTCCGTCCCTCCGTCCGTCCGTCCGTCCGTGGGGCCGGGCCGCCCCTCGCCGCAGCGCCGGCCCCGCAGCGCCCAGCCCAGCCCAGCCCAGCCCTGCCCGGCCCGCCCCGGCGCGGCGGGAGGCGGCGGTGGCTGCTCGGTCCCTGAGGCCGCCCCACAGCCGGGCCGGGCGGGGCGGGGCGGGGCGGGGCCGCGCCGCCCGCGCGCATTAAAGGGACCGCGAGCGCCCGCGGGGCCGGGCCGGGGACAGCGCTGGCGGGACAGCGGCTCCGTCACCCGCTCCGTCCCTGTCACCCGCTCCGTCCCTGTCACCCGCTCCATCACCCGCTCTGTCCCTGTCACCCGCTCCGTCACCGGCTCTGCCCCCGACACCCGCTCTGTCCCTGTCACCCGCTCCGTCCCCGACACCCGCTCCGTCACCCATTCTGTCCCCGTCACCCGCTCTGTTCCCGACACCCGCTCCGTCCCTGTCACCCGCTCCGTCACCCGCTCCGTCCCCGTCACCCGCTCCGTCCTCGACACCCGCTCCGTCACCCGCTCTGTCCCTGTCTCCCGCTCCGTCCCCGACACCCGTTCTGTCCCCATCACCCGCTCTGTCCCCGTCACCTGCTCTATCCCCGGTTCTGTCCCCATCACCGGCTCTGTCCCGGACACCCGCTCTATCCCCGTCACCCGCTTCGTCACCCTCTCTGTCCCCATCACCGGGTCTGTCCCCGTCACCGGCTATATCCCCATCACCCGCTCTGTCCCCATCACCGGCTCTGTCCCCGGTTCTGTCCCCGTCACCCGCTCTGTTCCCGACACCCGCTTCGTCACCCTCTCTGTCCCCATCACCGGGTCTGTCCCCGTCACCCGCTCTGTCCCCGTCACCCGCTTCCTCTCTGTGACCGCCAGCACCCGTGCCCCTGGTTTATCGGTGCTGCCTGCACCGCCCGTGTTCCCGGCTTTACCGGTGCTACGGGCTGCGTTAGTGCCCCCGGCGTCATTGATGGTGTTTTGGGTGCAGATCAGGGATTCTCGCTTGTGGTGTGAGCTGGCCCGACAATCCCCTCATGCAGGGGCTGTTTCAGACGGTGGGAGCGGGTCGGGCACCGCTTGGATTTCTGAGCGAAGGGGYGAAGGTTCAGCCCCAGGAAATTGGTGTCCAAAGCGTCGCCCGTCAACATAGTTAGGAAAGTTCCGTTTTCCCGCAAAARGAAGCTGGGGACCTTCAGAAGACCCCATGATTCACATTCCCAGCCCTGGGTTAGCGTCTCTGCTGTGATCATGACAGCATCAAAAACCTTCCCAGGGTGGGATCTTTGCAGGAAAATCTGAATTGTTTAACAAGCAAATGCCCACAAGAATCAGCACTGAGGCAATCCAGGTCACTACCAGATTTTAACAAGTATCTTGCTTTTTTGTGCTTTTTCTTCCCCTCCGTCCTCCTGGGGGGATGGAGGAAGATCATATCTCCTCAGCCACCACAGTTCCTGCTGCACTGCTGGGTGCCCCCTCCCCGGGCAAATCCACCCCCTCTCCCTGCCACGAGTGATGCATGACCCCAAACAGCTAGAAAAGCATCTTGCAAACCTCCCCTTCCTCTCTCCCTGCTCCAGCAGCTGTAAAAACCTCCGTGTCTCCCACCCCACTCAGGCAGGCAGATGTGGGAATGCACGGGYTCCCTGCCGCTCTGCCTCCTGCAGTTCCCTTCTCTTTTCCCGTGTCATTCTCTTTTCCCGTATGAGTGGCATTTTCCTGGGAGCAGAGCAGGATTGCAGGCAGCTCGTGGCATTCCTTGCCCCAATACGGCTGCAGGACACAGGCACTTTCCCAGGCCTGGACTCAGTCTCCTTAAATCACCCCACTCAATATGTAAGCACGGGCGCACGCCACGGTGTGAGCATAAACACCAGCAGCACAAGGCAAATTGCCTGAAATGAGCCTGACGCGTCTGAAAAAGCAAGAAAAGTTGCTCTCCTGTGCCTGTGGCAGTTGTGTGTCTGCTGGCTCAGGGCAGCACCTTTGGTGCGGTTCAAGTTTTCAGTTTTTCTGCAGGCTGAGAGTCTTGTGAAGCAAAGGAGCAGATCAGGTCTTCCTCTTAAAAATATGTTTATCTTGGAAGATAAAGRACTGGATTTATCCCTGTWGCATTGCRGGGTTYCTCTACTTCAGCCATTTAGCATTTTTCTGAGCTTTTTATTTTTATTTCTGTGATGTCTCACTTAATGAATGGAAGGCAAGTCCTGTACCACAGCAAAAAGACTCAGGACATTAATTTTACAGGAGCCAGGAGCCAGGCTTTTATATCCCAGTGACCTTAGAACAACATTAGAATCAAATGTATTTAAATAAACCCCTTAGGGTTGAACACACTTTCCAGCAACACTGAATATCCTGCCAGAGCACAGATGGATTTTTTTTTGCCTGTTCTTGCAGTCCACAAGGCCATGGTGCCAAAGGGAATCACCAGGCTGGTGTTTCAGTGGGGATATGGATTTTTTTGCAGTGGCATTGCTCTTATAACAATTTCCTTTTGCATTTCTCTGTCCYCTGGCAGCCTGGCTGTCAGTAACGAGCAGCTACCAGATGCCAGTGGTGTTTATAAAACCATTATGCAAACCCGCTACACCCAGTAATCCCAAAATAATACTCAAATTACCCAAAATACCCCAAAATAATGGGTGCCCCGATGTTGTGAGGCTAAGTGACTATAAGTGTGGGTCAAGACTGAGCAGTGAACCTGTCTGATCAAATCAYGTCTTCATCATCCTCACTTTACAGCCCTCTAATGAGGAGTGTGTGACTCTCACGAGAGGCTGGATGTGTTTGGAATTTCTGATCCCAGGAAAGCAGCTCCCTTCCCTGCCTCAGAGCAAGAACAGCGAGCTTGGCTTTTAAACAGCGGCCTTGCAAGGATTAGGCAGAAATGCTGYGCTCTTTGCAACAGCGTTCTGGCTTTTGGAGCACTGAGGCTTAGTGCTTTCAAGCTTTTTCCATGGGATTGTGGAAGCTGGAATCTTCTCGTGCTGGAAAAATCCCAGATTTTGATTGTGGCAGCATCTCAAGGCTGTGGGAGCTGCAGGGAAAGCTCACAGTGAGCCTGTCTGGAGCACCCCAGAGCAGAGGGAGAGATGGTTTGGGCACTGTGCCCAGCAGGACACGTACACAGAGCCCAGGAGAAGGAGCCTGGCTGTGGCTGCAATCACAGGGTATCTGTCTGCCAGGCTGCAGATAGCTTACACAGATTTTCCTCAGCGTTTCACTTGGAAGCTGCCGTTGATAGCTATTCCATCAGATAAAATGGTAATGTGAGCCGTCCGGCAGCAAAGATGGGGATTTCAGCTCTCAGTGGAAAGCTGGAGTCCTGCCTCAGATATTTGAGATGTTCTGCGTTAAACTTGCCCCGTGCCCGGCACGAATGCATGAAAATTGGGGTATTTTCTCACTTGGGTTGACCTGAGCTCCTCCAGGAAAAGAAGTGAGATGCAAAACAGGAGCCACCCTCCCTTTGAAACCACCCTGCCACAGAAAGCTTCAGGGGAAAGTAATTACATCTAAAGCAACCCRCAGCCTTTCGCCTCCATCAGCCCCTAATTGACTTTATCGGAGCACCAGCCCATTAGGACCGATGCGAGTAAAAACCACAGCAGGGATTTACCTTCCCCAGCCTTGTGTGACCCACAGAACCGGCACAGGGACCTTCTGGTCCAAGGGAGGGACCRAAGGGTGGGTTTGGCAAAGGGTGGAGGCAGAGGGAGGTTTGCAGCCCTGCCCTGAGTGATGTAACACAGCTCCCTCCAAAGCGCCTTCCCACCGCCCTGGTGACCTGCCTTTACTTGCTCCAGGCATGAGAGGAATTCAGTGGGACTCAGGCGGTACCAAGGGATGGAGTTCACCTCAGGGAAGTGGATCTGTCTCAGAAAAAAAACCCAAAAAACCTAAAAATGTCAGCATGTTTCCCTAGGGAAGGGGGAAAAGAGAAACCCAAGGAGGCGGCTGGTGTCACAGGGTCTCACACCCATCCTCACAGYCACCCTCCTGCCTTTTTCTGTGCTCACCTTCAAGCTGGAAACGATTTACAAAAATAAATTATGTGTTGTGAAACATCCCAAAGTCAGTGGCGCTCAGCTACGGGCTGAGAGGGGGGAAATGAAGCGATCCTGGATGGTGGCTGTAAATTGGGAAAGGATTTAAGCATTGCCATCACTTTGCCTTCATCCCCAAAGGGAAAGGGTGACCCTTGTGACTCACACACTGCAATGGCATTGGGGTTCTGCTTTCCCAGCCAGTCCTAACTCTATCTACAAGGCTTGGCCTCTCCTCTTTCTCTGGCTCCCTCTCCCAAATAGCTGAGCTGTCCCACTCCCTCCCTTTGGCCTCCCAAATGCACACCKGCTTGTTGCTGCCTCCCATGGTGCTGGGGCAGCTCACAGAATAACTAACTAGTCTTTACCACRGAAATAAATGGCCACAGCTTTATTAAATCAATATTAATTCATAATCTTTAGCAGACAATTACAGTTATCTCACACACAAAACTACCCACCTCTTCAAATCTCTGATCTGACAGGGTTATAATTAGCTTATTACTGGCCATACATCTGCTAATAACTTTTCCCTCAGCCCTGTGAAGTGAATTAAGGAGCGCTAATAAACCATGGCTGTTAATCCATTTATATGTCTTATGCTTTTGTCTAGGCACYGAATTTAAAGATACATAAAAAGAGGTTTTCTCCTTTCTTTGCTCCAAGGTCTGACTACCCTGCAGCCCTTGGCTGGTGGGTGTGGACAAGGTGGTCTTGATGTCCTGGAAAATGCCATCCTCACTGGGAGCAGGGTGCAAATTGGGAAAGCTCTTTACAAGATGAAAAACCTCAGAATATTCAAAAGCAGGAATATTTTCCCCAATGTTTTCTTATTCTCAGCCCAGTGCCTGGCATGAAGCAGAGGWTATTTGGGGAAAGCCCACTGGAAAGGCTGTGAAACCCAAAAAGGGAGGCAGATAGAGAAGAGGAGCTGGCTTTGGGCAGGCTCCCAGCCCTGCTTTTGCTCTGCAATAATGAAA